GTGATTTTTGTATAATTTCTTTCAAAGCTTATACTGCTAAAAATTACGTATATCTATCACTGATTATTCTGCTGAAAAGTGAGAAAAAGAATACCAGAATTGCTCAAAACATTTGTTACAGTTAAGGAAAATAGGGAGAAAAAACCTGGTTGCCCCACTATTATCTAAAGAAAGAGCAGGTCATTATGACCAAGCAAGCTCCAAACTGTTGCAGCCATGGTGCTCGTCCATAATGATCTGCACTCGGTATTTAATCCATGCATCTTCCTCTCCCTTGAGTGTGATCAGAGTTGCTCCAAAACGTGACCTTTGCAATCAACTTCACAAAAGAAAAAGAAAAAAAAAAAGAAAAGAAAAAAAGTGCTTTCAAAAATTTGACCATGTCTGAAAACACATTGGCAGCAACATCTTGTCTCTTGAACACCCACCCTTTCATTTTCTCTTTTCTTTTCTTTTTTTTTTCTGAGTTTGTTTTTGTTTGTTTTTTAAAATTATTTTAAGAGTAGCTTTTTCACATCTTCAATGGCCAGCAGCTGTTTTTATAGATTTTTAACAGAAAATTGAGTCCAGGGAGTCCACCATGACTGCAGACTTAGGTTCACAAATATGTGTTAAAAACACCCCAACACCCCGACAGTAAAAAATTTGACATAGCATGGCACTGCAATTTTCCCAGAATGTAAAGAAAACAGCATATTCATACACAGCACAAAACCATTCTTGGTTTTGTGTTTATTAGAAATGTAACTATATAAAAACAACCTGCCTTGAAAAGGGTCCACATTATATGCCACAGTTCAGATAATAATGGTATTGGATTATCAGCTCTAAGAAGATAAAATCCTTAATTTACAATCAAATACATGAAGCACGGTTTTTTCTCAGAGCTGCTTATTCGTAGATATTTTCAGAGACTGAAAACTCACAGGAATTTGGGTGCAATTTTGGGTGCAATTTTCTAAAGCAGCTTTTCCAGGAAATTCTGGACCTAAAATCCAACAGTATTTCAGGACTGGCTGCCTTACTGTTTTGATAGTGATCTTCCAGTACCAGCTGCAGAGTAAGATTGGAAAGTGTGTCTGTAATCTCCTGAGCATCATTTTAAACTGCCACGCACAGTTCTGGGTAAATGAGGGGTAAAATCGTGCTTTCCTGCAAATGTCATATGATTCAAGATTTCATGTCCTTTGTGTCCAAAAGCTCCCAGCATAAAAGAAAGGAAAATATTAGGTTTTTTTTCCTTAGAACACATTTTGTTAAATGTATTTTTCAGACACATTTGCAAGTGATGCCACTGGACATCGCTGAACAGAGTGATGCACAAATGGGATTCAGCAGCTGCTCCCTTCCTGCTCTGTGCAGATAACACTTAGGTTTCATGCATGTGGCAGCTCCTATCATTTTCTGTCCAAATCTAGGGGAGGGAAGGAGACAGAAAATAGGAGGAAGCAATATTTTGCTGTCTGGCAACTTCTCAGAAACATTGACGAAATGGTGTTAACACAATTCTGAAAGAGAAACTGCTGCTCAGCTGAGAGGAAACATGACACCCAAAGAACCTCTTGGGGAGAAGTGGGTGAAGGTGTGCAGATATGACTTCCTAAGATGAAGAATACAGTACTTCTCTCTTTGATTCATAAACCAAGTAATTGCTTGTACAGTAATTTTAAGGCTTTGAAAATGTGAGAAATCTCTACCCCTTCTTAAAACAAGAGGTATGTATCAGGTGACTAAGGTAAACATGATAATTAAAAAGAATAAGAAATAGTTGGAATGTTTTGGTAATTGCTCCCTAGTCATTGTTAGGCTTTCCTGATTAATGTAGTTAGAAAACTTGAGCTAAAAGCATTTAAGGTGGAACTGATGTTATCATGCACACCACATTGTTAGGCTTTCAACCAAGAAAAAAATTCAATCACTTTACTTATAAAACACCTTTGAAAATAGAGACCTAGGACAATATAATCTCTGTATGCGTCCTGCAAAGACTTTGCCAAAACATGTATTTGACAGCCTGCTCCATTTGCAAAGTTGTTGTCATTAGTGATAATTGTTGCTCAAAATGCCTTCACAGCTGTGGTAAAGGCTTGAGGGCCACCTCAGTCACCACAGTACATCACCCAGGTACTGCTAGGGACTCAGGCTCCCAGCAGGGACAAATCCAAGGTGCACCATCTTAAGGAGCTCCAGAGGACAGTAATTTACAAACACAAAATGTAGCTCTTTCTCCAGATGGTTTTCAGTTTGAAGGTTTTCTGAAGAACACTGTTTCTTTATCATTCCCTACCAAGTTTGCATAAGTCAGAACATACAAGGTCACCTACTTCCTGTGAGGTTGAAGCTACAGGCAGGCCTTGCTGAGCAGAGAACATATTCAGCAAACGTTCTCCATCTCCCTTCTCAGAGCCCATCTTTAACAAAAAAAAAAATCTGCATAGCACTGTCGGCAGGAGTTTTCATTTGATGAGGCTCTGCGGAAGATCACTTTTCCGTGAACTCTGAGTTCCTGGGAAACACTGCAGAGCAGCTAAGCACAAAAATACACACCTAGTAGAAATCTGTAGAGAGAAATCACTTATGTTCTGGGTAAGGGATTTTCTTCTGTTAGTGATTGGTTTTTTTCTGAGGTGGAGACATTTATTATAGCATACACTGGGGCTTTAGTACAGAGTGAATAATGAGTCAACTGTGTTTGAAAGCTGATAAGCTCCACACAGAGCACTACACTTCAAAACTACCAAATGCTTAGATATGTAAACAGCCCCACTGAAGCCACTGAGATTTCTTTTATGTCTAATGCTAAGCAAACATCCAGTCCTAATTAACTAGGACACAGCTTGGTAGCAGAAAAGTAACTAATTTCAGAAGTTTTGGAAATTTTAGCTGGTTTCATTAGCAATTTGTGGGTATTTAGCCCTCTGTGTTAAAAAAAAAATAAAGTTTACTACTAAGAAGAGGTATGTTTACTTGCAATCCAAAGTGATTCCCAAGTATATCTTCATTGAGAATTAACAGAAATTAATTGCAAATAGGATTGGAAAGATACTATAGTTTTTTTTTTTTTTTCTCTGAATACTCTCTCACTCTGAAATAAACAGTAATATTTCCTTCATCCCTCAAACTTGTCAAGTAAGACTTATTTTCAGGAGTACCTCACAGTGGAAAACTGTGAAGTGGAGGCTTTAAGCACACAGAGAGGCTGAACAAATCGTGACTGTGTTCTTCATTCCCCAGATGGCAAGCAGAGCTCTGCTAAAGCACACAGGGTAGCAGCTGCACATTAAACTTTTCTGGCAGTTGTGCTGACCACAGGTAAAGAATGACACAGACTCAAGTTTATGCTAAAGCCACAAGTTTATTATATTTCACATAGCAAAGCAGCATCTGGAGAAAGGACAGAGTGTGCTTCACACACCTATCAGCTGGGGATCCCTAAAGGGTACAGTGCTGGCTCTCTGGGTTTCATAACTCTCCCCTTTTTACAAGATGTTCTCTAGAGGACTGGATCAAAACATGCCATATTGGAAACTTTGTTGCTGAGAAGGTGGAAGTACAGGGGGTCTTAGTACAGAAATGAAGCCAGCTTCAGGGAGTTTTGCTTGTAAGGTAGATGAGATGCCAGTCTGTCGATGAACCACATGGCAAAACTGATACTAAATACAATACTTCAGCTTAAAGATGGTGTCCTACGACATTTGTAAGCCACACACAAAGGTTTCACTTCAGGTACTGCTGTTACAGAGAGTAGGAGTTGGAAATGTTGCATTTAATTGAATTATGAGAAAGTTAAAAAAAGAAGCAAATGAGTTTGAAAATTTCTGAAGTTAATCGGTTCAATCACTCAAAAAGTGGTGGCAAATGAACACCCAGCTTTTTCATATTTCCTCATCCTAACTTTCCATAGAAACTATTTCACAGGTCCAACTAGAAAAATTTTTTCCAATGTAAAAAAATCCAACCAAACCTGTGAACATATTTTTCTCTTTTAATAAAGCTCTCACTGAGAAACTATACCAACAGAAGAAAAAAATGCTTGTAATTATATGGGCAAGGAAATATAGATGTAGAGTTCTGTGCAGTTTTCCTACAGCCTACCTGCCTCCTAGGGCTCTCCCTGGCATCCCTGACAATTACACTGTGTACTTTCGTCTACAGAAAGGAAAGGTCTTTGACTCCAGGCCAACTACACCAACAGGAAGCTGCACTTTTTGGATAGTGCAGTACCTTGCATGATCACTGCCTCTGTATTTTCAAATTCCCTTTGTTTTAGCCTCCCGTCTCATCTCTCCTGCAGCCTGGAAGTCAAGTGGGGTCACAGGTAGTTTTTATGAGATGGTCATAGAGTGCCCAACAGGAATGCTGCCGACCTTGAGAAGCTGCTTGGTGCTTTTTACTGCTGCAGATAACTGCTGTACACCAAGGCCCGGCTGGAACAGGTCGGGGACGACGTACACCGCCTTGACAGCCGTGGATGGAGCCCGGCCGAGGAAAAAATTGCTTTCCTTGCTGTATGGTTGCTTTGAAATTTCCGCTCAAAGGCACCCGAGGGGCACATAACGCCTTCCTGCGGTCTCTTTCCCCCACGCGAGCGAGACTTTGAGGCCAAACTCTGACTACAAAGCAAAGCCCTTGAGGGCACGGAGGGGTGGGCGAGCTCCGTCCGTCCGCCCCCATCGCCCCGGGGCGGCTCCCCCGGGGATCACCGCAGCGCAGCGGGGCCTCCCTGCCCCCGGCCCTGACGGAAAGGCTGCGGCCAAACAGCCCCGAGCCGAGCCAGCGGAAAGGGCGGACGAGGCTGGGGCATCGCGGCGCGGCCACATCAGCCCCCGCCTGCCCAGTGCCGGCGCTCGGCTGCTGAGCCGCACAGCGGCCCCCAGGAGGCGGCGGCGGCGGCGGCCGGGGACGCTGAGGAGGAGCCGCCTGCGCGGCCCAGCGGCGGCGACGGGCGGGCCGGACACACCAACCGACCGAGCGAGCGAGCGAGCAGCCGCGGCACGGAGAGAGGGAGGGAGACAGGCAGGAGGGCAGCGCAGCCCGCGCCGGCAGCGCCATGGCCACCAAGGTGAGCAGCGCCGGGGGTTGAGAGGCGGCGCCGGGGCGCCCTCTGCGCCAGCGGGCCCGGCTGGGCGGGCGGGGGTCCCGGGCGGAGGGGCTGCGTGCCGGGGGTCGGGGGGACCGGGCCCTCCCCGGAGCCTGCCCCTCGCCGCCGGCCGCCGGACGGACGGACGGACGGACGGACGGAGGGAGCGCCGCGCTCGGGCCTCGGCGCCGCTGCCCGGCCCCTGCTCGGGGCTCGGCGGGGCAGCGGCGACTCCGGGGCCGGGGAGAGTTGTTTTTCTGCTGTGTTTGTGCCCCTCCGTCCCCACTCCTCGGCGGAACGACCGTAGGGCCGAAGAGCCGCCGGAGGCCGAGGGTGCTGGTCCTACAGCCCGGGTGCCCCTTGCCCCGCTTCCACCGAGCCCGGGGAGCAGCGGGGCGGTGGGAGAGGCCTCGGCCACCGGCGGGCCCTGCCCGGCTGGCCCGGCCCGCTCGCCCCCCGCCGCCCCGGCAGCTGATGCTGACCCCCTCGGCGGCATCCGGGGGTGGCTGTGCCGTGTCTCTGGTGGGAGCCCACTGTGCGACCTCTTAATAGCAAGCTCTGATTTTACACAACAAAAAAGGAAGTTGAATTGTTTAGTTCAGTTCTTCAACAGTATATGCTGCTAATGCGACTGTCAAAATTAGCCCTTCCTATCTGAAAGTAGCCTCTTTCTAAATAAACAATATTTGTTTACTCTTTTAGTTGATGAAAGCATCTCTGCTTGTGTAGGTGTGAATTAACATATACCAGCAACTCATCTGTGACTTGTCTAAGTATCTCAGGAAGACTTTTTTGGTATTTGAAGTATTACTTTGAGTCACCTAATTCCACTAGCTTGGCCAGCAGTTTAAAAAACTTCCTTTTACTGAAGCGGTTCTCATACAGTGCACTATTTATGTTGCTCTTCTCAGTGCTGAAGAAATTCCACATTTTGCATGTGTCAGATTTAATGTATATGTAGCTGTCTCTGTAACCACGTAAGCTGATGGTGGCTCATGTTTGAATAAACTTTTTCCGAAGCACCGAGAACTTGATTTTGGGTTTTAAAATCACTTAGGCAGTTTTAAAATACTGTGAATATACTCAATATAGGGGCATTTATATTTCTGTTGAGCTTTTAGAGTATTGTTAATAGACTTGGTTTTAACAGTGGTGGGTTCCAGTAATTCATGGGATGTGTGTATAAATATTTTTTAATCAATCTAACTATTGTAGGTAGCAAGAAAATTACTTCTGGCGTGTATATGCTACATAATGCACAGTGTGCTGGGCAGATACTGTATTAGAGCAGTTTACTGTTTCTCTACTCACTTTGAGGTGCAATATCCTCATGGGACCCTGTGTTCTGTGCCAAACACACGATCAATTTTATTCATACATTTGAAAACTTTCACTTTGCTTTTCTTCAAATATTTTTTGGAGCCATTATGGCCCCAGACGGAAGGGTGTATAATTTCTGACTTCCTAATCCAGACTGGGTTGAAATCAAGTGGTGCACTTTTTTTCATTCTACACATTGCAAGATATGGTAATATACTATAACTTGAAGGCTAGAATTGGTAAGAGGTAGTCAGGAAAGAGTTGGTATTTCATTGCTATTATTTTGTTATGCTGGTAACTGTGAGCGTACTGAAGCGAAACTTGCTTTATTTTCTGTGGACTCTAGCCAGGAGATGGGTCCCTCTCTGCAAACAGCCCTGTTTTCGATTTTATTTTGTTCAGGTTGTGCGAACGTCAGCTGTAGTAAAGGATACCTTGGGTTTTTTTGAGCCGTGTAAGGGAATAACTGGCTGAAAAAGCACTTTTTAGGAGCTCGGCCAACTAACCAGTCACCATTTCATTTGTTTTTTAAATTGTAAACAAATTTCTCACCTTCTGCTTGTTGTCCTTCACAAATTGTCACTTTTTGAAAGAAATATTCAAGGTGTGTATTTGTATTTTATGTGAAACGTTAACAAAACTAAACTGTAAGTAGTTGTCTGGAGTATGAATTTTTTGAACTTTGATGGTGTCAAATCCTATATAGCTCATAAGGGTGACTGACAGTCTGGCCTGGCCTGTGCTGCACGGGCTGTTAGCGCTTCCTGAATTGATTCCTGTTTAAACTAGAACATACTTTCCAAGGAAAGCTGGGGGCAAATTCAGTCTTGTTTTGAACACTTTCAGTGACAGAAAATCCAGTCTGTCTTTTTTTGTTGTTGTTTTTAAACCATCAGTGCTCTTGCTGTTGATGCTTCTTTCTTTCTAATCTGAGCTTGGCCAGGTTCTGTTTTCAGCTTTATCATTTTCTCTACAAGATTTACAAATGCTTGAATCAAGGTGTTAGATTTCATGAGGAAGGAGAATGCAAATAAGAATTTCTTCCACAGCTAGCTTCTAATCCTTGGCCAGTTTTCTTGCTCCCACTTTGATAAACCACAGCAATTAAATTCCTAGAGTTTTCTCGTATGAAGACATGGTACACAGTTTTGTAATGTGCTGGCCCTTCTCTGTACCATTCAAAAATCAATGCATTTCTTATTGAAACAATGGAAACTTTTAGGGGAAAGGACTACTCTTTTCATACCAAGAAGCCTTTACTGATGCTTTCCTAGCATATTTGTTAGCTGGCAACTTGGTCGGAAGTGTTTTGTCAAAACAGGTTGGGGTGGCTGTAGGCCTTAGGCACCCTGAAGGCTGTGGAGGCTGTGTCTGATGTGAGCTAAACTGGCAGTGGCCATTGCTCCTTCTCCTTTCTTGCTCCTCATCCCATGCTGTATGTACATCCCAGGAGTCTCCTCCAGCACTTGTCAGGCCTGTTTCTAAGCTACAGTAAGTTGCTGAAATAGAAAGAATATTCACTGAATGGAAACAGTAGGGTAATTTCTCCAGTTTAGGTAGTTGCAGTAGTTGAAAGTTTGCTCAGACCTGATACAGAAGGTTGGGTGGGGTATAGTTGGGAGGGGGAGACTTTCATGGAGAAGGGTGGAAATATAAATGGGAAATGGAGGATCTGAGGCTTCTGGAGGCAGTTCTTTTGTTGGCTAAATCCTTACTGTAGCTTGGCAGTGGATTTTGTGATTTGCTCAAGGTTATGTGCTCTAAAAACTGAAACAAATTTTAAACCCTATCAAAGTAAGAAAAAAGAAGATTGTTTAGGAGACTTCAGGAGTTTCACAATCATTTAACTGAACTCAACTTCAGAGGTAAAGCAATTTCATATCCACATTTAAGGACTGATGACTTAAGCTAGATACTTTTATTTTTGATGCATTCTTCAGAAACAGAGTTAGCCATACAAATTTCTTATTTTTAACTGTGTCACAAATGATGTCAGAAAGAGACTGACCCTAAAAAGTTTTCAAAATTTGGTCACAAGGAAGATGCAGTTTGGTAAACGTGTTTCTGTCATAGTTGCTTGCAAAAGCCACCGGTGAGATTGTCATTCTTCTGTTTGTTCCTTCGTGATTTCTTTGGCCTTTCCTATCCTTCCCCCCCTAGAGTTTGCCAAGTCCCAGCTTTACTCACGTCCTTTCTTTTGTTTTTGAGCTTCATTGAATAGGGAGGACTAGAAATGTCAGGAAGCAATGTGCTAGCTTTTAAACAAGGTTCTCCCTACCTTAGCCTATTTTTGAACTTACTTATTATTTTAAAATGTAGGCAAGTCCTTTTCTTTAAAAGGCTGATGTTTTGCCATTTGTTAAGCCCTGATTTCAGAAGGAAGTGAAGTTATTGAGAGAATTGATAGGCTATGAGCAAGACAGTTCTGGAACCTGTGCTGCTAACGTGTGGTGAGAGTTTTAATTTAGAAGTTGAAACTAGGAGTTGATTTGTTGGTGTAACATCGTTGATGTTGGTGACATTGCTTTCCCAAGAGAGGTATTTCATAAGGCAGGTGTTGATAAGCTTCATGAAGTTAGGCCCCTCTTGTTGTCAATACCAAGTTTTTTCTTTGTAACTTTAGAGGCACTTGTATGCCAGCATAATGTTCTTGATTGTTTAATGGTTTATCTACTTCGAGGACTCACTTATCTGCTTCTGCTTTTAGGACTGGGCCCATTTTTATGGGAAGAAGTTCCTTGAGCTGAAAGCTTAGACTAAATGTTCTGTTCTTTAAAGAAGATGCAACTTAACAGTACTTCTAAAACAAGGAAATGCTGTTCAAGGCTTTCTTGTCCATCTAATCATGTTGGATTTTCTCTTGTGAATGTCACTGGCCAAGTATAGTTGAATTTAGCATGGTTCTTGTAGTTGTGGTGAGGAAAGGTAATGATTTACATATTTCAGGTAGGGAAAGGTAACAACACATTAGACTTAAATATTATTATCCATAAGTGTGTATCCTTCCTTTCATCTTTCTTTTTCATTCTCTATTACTCTCAGAAGTGTAAGGCTTCTCAAAGAAGTCCCACATTTTCCTTTATACCATCACTAATCTGTATGTTTCCATTATGAGTTGGTCAGAAACAATTCCTTGTTCTGATTTGCAGCTGGGAAGTGAAGCACCCCTCTGTACTAAAACCCTCCAAAATACCCAGACTTTGTGTTCTGTTAATCTACATTCTGCATTGCCCTAACTTTGGAAGTAGACTCCTCTCATAAATCTTATTTTAAGGGAAGATTCAGTTCATAAATCTTAACACATCTGTGAATTGGGATGATCCTCTTCTGTGCAGATCATGCCATAATCCATTCATTATCTTCTCTTGTTTAAATTCAACAAAATATAGTACAAAACGTGACATCACAGCTGATCTATATATGTAGGATGTGATGGAACAAAATTATTAGGTGAAGTAATTATTTTGATTCTATGGTCTAACAATGTGAAATGTTGTTTGTGTTTTTTAGGCTAGTATTAAGTAGATGTGGGGATACTTCCTAGGGCTTTTTAGATTATTTTGGTTAGGTGGTTTGGTTTTTGAGGGGCAACAAGATGACTAGAGAAGGTGAAAATGGTTAGTAATGCAGATTAGCCACAGATTCCTGACCTGTTGGAGGAG